CTCTCTCTCTCTCTCTCTCTCTCTCTCTTTCTCTCTCTCTCTGTTGTTTTTTGTTTTTTGTTTTTTTTTTTTTTCTGCTGGTATGGGAATCAAACCCAGAGCCTTGTGCACACTGGCAAAGGCTCTGTTCTGGTTTCATTTTCCTGGTGATTAACGTACCCTGGTGAAAACCAACATAAGGGAGAAATGGCATGAGGAGGTCGAAACGATGCGGCCTGGAGACGACCGCTCACATCACACCCATAGCCAAGAGCCGAGGGAAAGGAATGCGCATGCTCAGTTGTTTGATTGCTGGTGCTGAGCTTGACTTTGCCGCTCTTACTCAATCCAGGGACCCTTGTCTAGAGAATGGTGCCACCCACATTGGGCTGTGTCTTCTCACATCAGTTAATTTTCTTAAGGTACTCTCCCATGGATGTGACCATAGGTCAACCCAATTCTCCAGCGAGACTCTTCCCAGGTGATCTAGCACAGCTACACATCCATCGCAAACTACCACTGAGCTGTGGCTCCACCGTATGAGACATTTTGTAGTTGAATAAACAGACTATGCACTGACCTTTGAGTTGGAGCCCCTGGAGTGGGTGTTGGCAGATTGTGGACTGTTAATGCCCCGTGTCGTTCTAAGTCTAACCTGCCCATCCTGAGATGGCTCCTGTCCACATGACAGGAATGCTGCCCAGTGAAGAAAGAGTCTTGGCCGGAAGTTGGGATCACCGGGTCCTAGTACTGGCCCTGCTCTAACCAGGCGTACGTCCTTGAGCAAGTCACTCCTTTCCTGTCTTGTCTCCTTTGATAGAAATGAGAATCTACCAACTTCACATTGGCTACTTTTACTGATTGCATGAATGCTGACTGTCTCATTCTTGTGCTTGCTAAATCCCAGGCTGCCTGGGTCGAAGTTTGAAGTCTGTAGCACAGATTACACATAAGGTCTGAGCATTTTAACTAAGAGGACTGTTTCTTACAATCTGCCATTTTGCCATTTCCCCGGACCTGGTTCCGTCTTGGTTCTTCGCTGTTCTGGTCTCGCATGCTTTACAACCAGAGGATGACATTACAATGAACAAACTGAGAGACATAAAGCTGCAAGCACAGCACTGGAGACGGGGCCTACTTTTTCCTTTAGTCCAGTGAACTGGAGAGTAGTGGGGTTCAATGAAACTAGAGTCAAGTGAATACAGTCATTTACATTGTAGTATAGATGGGCATATCCAAGGTGCGATTTATAGCTTTAAATTACAATGAAATGAATTAGATTTGACAAAACTATTTCCCTATTCCCTTGTCAAGACTGAATATTATCAAATTTTAAAAACTTTGTAACCTTGTATGAGAAAATACCTTTAGTTATAGTTCTTCAGCTGTGGGTACAATTGCATATTTTTTAGTACATATTTTGACTCTTTGTATTTGTTGATCTAGTATTTCTAGACTTTGATCTAGTATTTCTAGACTTTGAATATTGTCT